GTCATCTACTTGTCTACTTTTTTGTTTCTTTATACTCTCAAGTTGAGTATAAGTATAATGACTTATATCTCGTGCACGGCGTCCAGCAGTTACTCGGGGTTCAGTTTTATATACATCCTGCAAAAGAATTTGTTGAAAGCGTGATTTGCCAGATTCATAAAAAGAAAGAATGTTTTTAATGCCTTTTTCATTAATTTCTGGCGCATTTTCAAACAAATAGTGTGTTGTAAGATTTGGATGATCAAAGGCGGACAATAACTTTGTAACCAAAGACCAGAGTGAATCTTTACGTGACTTGATCACACGAGCATTCTGGCTTGCTACAATATCATCAGTGTATTCTGCAAGAAGCATTGATAAACGATTCCTCTCACTTTGGCTACTTTAACTTTTAACATCATGGTCAGCTGGTCAGTAAGATTTCCAGTAATATTTTGCTTTATGAACTTTATGCCATACGTTTCAAGTGCTTCATCAAAAGCTAAATAATGTCCTTCGCTTTTAAGATTTACTGAGCATACCGTTTGTAATAATTTCTGTAATTGTGGATCATCATGAACTTGAGCCAAAAAGTGTGCTACAGAACTTGCGTACTTAAACTTTTTAGCTGCAGGGAAGAGAGGTGCAAACGCAGCCAAATTTGACATTTGCATCCTGTAATTTCCTCTTCTAATTCCAATTTTATGACCCACGAAGTATCCCGTCCAACAGAAAAAGAGATACCATACTTTTATAAATTGATTATCACTTTTCAAAATGTCATTCATGGTTTTTCCTTTGTTTTTCACATGCTGACACAATGTAATCCCGACTGCGATCCAGATTTATTTCAATATGCGATATGTTGCTCAGTAATCTACGACACGTTCAAGTTTATCTAAGTATCGTACACCAAGAGATACCACAAGGTTGAATATTCCATATCCTAAGAATATTGTAATTAGGACGCTGCACATATCTTTAGATGTATGCCACTGTCTCAAAAGGAGTCGAACATCTTCGTGAATTTCCTTATAGGAGATTAATCTCCCAAAAATTGCTTGGTCACATGCAATATATAAACTGTCATTATTACTACGAGGTAAATCATCATGGTACATTTCACATGCTGCATGAACATTTTCATTGCAGTTGGGTGGATTACCGGGTTCTAATATCACAACATTTGGTGGTAAAGTATTGCAACCTATAGATACTTGCTTAGTGATTTCTGAGTATACATCTTCCATATCAAATTCATTTACGCAAGTCTCTAACATTGTATTTTAAATATTCTCATACATTATTAAAAGGTCATCGGTAATTGAAGACTCCCTGAATAGTGGTTGATTAACAGATTCATGGTCTCCAATTAGGTCATCAAAAGAAGTTGAAATAGTAAACTGAAATACCATCCGTAACGTTGCGTGTAAAGTTTATTGTGAAATGTCAAAAATATTGCCATATGAGAACGTAGAAGCTTTGAAATTGATATTGTCAATTACTGCCAAATTCCAAATATTTGATTCTTCGATCAAATTCTCTCTAGGGTCTGTATGATGCATTCTAAATTTTTCAAGACGATTTTCATGCCGCTTAGTGTAAGATATGATGCAAGCTGAATGAAGGATCTCTCGTAAGTATGGTAGCAATTTTGGCTTTTGGCATATTGATGATATCATGTGGAAAAGCCAGATTTTCATTTCAGGGAAAGCGATGGTTAGTAGCATGGAGGTTAATAAAGTGGTTGTTTTTGATATTTGACTTGTATTGAGTGATTTTGGAAGAAGTCCACGTTGAAGCCTCTTTTTATTAACAACATTTTGTTTTTGTTGTTGTAGTACTTTGATGAAGGCTTGAAAGAAACTGCAAATAATTTTGGGTAATGCATTGAAATAACTTTCATATGAACTCGGGTTTTCTAATTGACTAATATTTTGTTGAATTTCAGAATGTGAAAATAAAACTTCTTTTCCTAATTTTTCTCCCATCATTGAAGCCTTTTCCAAAGTTACTATATGAGACCTTTCCTTTTTTAACTTATTTGATTCAACTTTTCCCATTCTTAATGCTGTTCTAACAAGTAATTTACTCAGAAGTTTTTCCACTTCCATTTCTAATAGGTTTTCCTCCATTGTCTTATTGTTAAAAACAGCTAATGTTAGAGTTATTAGAGATAGAAGTCTTTCTTGCAACTTATTATTACCTGACTCTGCTACGGATATTACCCATCTTCTGATATGTTTTAGAGCGTCACTTATATCATCACAATGTTTCTCACGTTCAGTACATGATACGATTTTTTGGCCTTTACCTAGTCTTTTATACAAATGTCCGCCCTGTTGTTAAAAGCATTCTGAGCAGATATAACGTGCACGATAGCCTGAAGATGACTTTTTTGCAATAGATCCCTCAGTAAATGCAGAACAATTATAAACACCAACACAGGGTACTTGAATATTACGCTTATTGATGCTCTATGAATGCTTCTCACAGCTATTACCACGGCTGAAAAAACATTTTTTCTTATTACAAAAAATGCAGAAGCGAAAATGAATAATGCTCTGCTCAATTGAACGTGATTGTTTCATGCCTTTATCATGAAGTTGGTTTTGATCAAAAAGAAAATGATAATAGCATACTCCAAGCTGATTAAGATTACTCTTAACATCTTCAACTGCATCTGCATCTATCTCCCATGTCCCTATTATTTGTTCCAATTGTCAGAGATTTGCTGTACTATTACAACATTTTATTTCACCTTGAATAGTATCTACGACTACACATGGTGTTAAATTTAGACTTTGCATGGAGGTCCTTTCAATTTCTACGTCTATGTCATCATGTGTTGTTTGAAAGAAATTACTATAAGGGTCAAAATCTTCAGGTTCAACCTCATTCCAATTCATATTATCATTGTTATCATCATCGTTTAGTAAGGCTTGAGCATTTACAAGGGCAATTTGATCAACAATAAAAATATCTTCATTTCTTTCTTCGGGAGTGTTAGCGTTATATTCCTTACAATTCATATAAGTAAATTCAGTCATGATTATTTTGCGGAAGCTTGAAAGCGGTAAGATATGTTTTACAGAGAATTTACGAATGTCGATCTAACAAATTTATAACAAACAATATTTAATTTGGAAGGGGATCGGTATCTTTATTAATAATATTCAAGGAATTCAACTCTCATTCAGTGCTCTTAAGAGAAGATATCCAAAACAGGAGAGAAAGCTAAGTCTATTTATACACTTAATTTCTATTTAGAATTATCTATTTACCCTTAATTAATCTTTTCTTAACTGTTAAAAATATCAATGATGGGGCAAAGCTGATCTGAAGATGGCCGAATGATGCAAAAGGTAGTAATGGTTTAAAGGTCCTGTCAGAAATGTTAGAAATGTCAGATCTGACAGAAATGACATTTTTCGGTAATATCAATCAACAAGCATTCAGTCACAGTAATCAGTCGTTCGAGCGCAGTCGGTAATAATTATAACAAAGTAAGATCGATTTACATTTTATTATCAGTTATGAATAACAGAATTGAGGATTCTTTGTTTAACGAGAAAATATAAGACTTATTTATTTATGATTTTTTTTTACATTTTACAAATATATATCTTTTTACGCTATAACTTCTTTTTTTTGAAATTTTTTTAATTACTAACTACGTTCTCCTTTACATTATATGACTATTACTAAAATTCAATGTATCTTCCATATGATGCTTCTCACGTAGATAGATTGGAAGGAGGTAGGTTCGGTAGTTCTACAAGTTGTCTTGAGGCTACATAATAAAAAGGAAGCGATTAGTTAGTTAACTGATCAATCATATGGATAATAGTAATGGATAGTGGTTTAAAGTTAAATACATTCATTGCTTTGTCTAATTCCCTATGTTTGAAATCTAATGTTACATACTTACCTGGTTAAAATATCTGAAAATGTACTTTCCAACTAGTCGCTAAAGATTTTTAGATGGTATAAATGTTTATTTCAATGTTACCCGAATAAATATTGTAAAGGTTAGAAAAATGGAGGTTGATTTGCTAAATATACTCAACTCGAATGTTAAATGGATAATTTTTCAAAGGAAATTGATAAGTGAGGGGACATATAGGCGTAAATGATAAATTTAAGGTCCAAAGTAATAAAAACTGTATATTACAAGGGTTAGCATACTCTAACTTCAAACGAAGATTCTTTTTGAACCAAATAAAAAATAAAGGTCAAGACTTTACGATACAATAAAGAAATATCACAAATATATTTCTGACTTAGTAATAGATAATCAGTTTCACAAATATAAGGTTATCCACAGAGAATGCTTTTTGAAAAAGCAAAATTTCCATATAAAAATTAAAGTGATCAACATCTAATTACCATATGAATAACATTTTAACCCCTGTATAGGAGACATGTTCCATGACTGTTAATATATAAAAATAAAAAAATTAAAAAAATTAATAAATTGATAATTAGTTAGCTTACTTTTGTTATAATAATAAACTGAACAGTTTTATTTAAAGTTTCTATTTAGTTCTTAACCTAAGATTATAAACTGATTGAACTTAAAATAAAAATAAAAATATTAATAAAAATAAACTAAAAAAAAATCAATAGTATAATTATTAAAATCTGTAATTTACATGTATGATATTTTATAAATTTGATAGCTTTAACAAAAGCTATATCTGCTTAATGCATTTCTGCTATTCACTATTAAGAGAATTTGTTTTACAAATTAAATTTTATTTATTTAAGAATCAATCTTTACTATTATTTCTAATATTATTTAATTTATTTTTATATGATTTCTCTTCATTATATTTCTAATTATATTTTTTTTCTATTTAATATTTTACTTTACTTTTCAGTTTTTTGTGATATTTTAATAGTTATTCTTTTTTTTAGTATTTTTTTTTTATTTCTTATTATATTATTTTTTCAAATAGTTCATTTTCCTTATATTTAAGTATTAGATTTTCTGTTTAATTATTTTATTATCATCATTAAATAATCTTCATGTATTATAATTATTATTAATTATTTATTAGGTAGATTTTTGTCATTAATTATATTTGTTATATATTATTGTTATTATTAATTATAATCATATGTTATTATCATCATAAATTACTATAAGATCATTATAATAATTCCTGTTAAATATTATAATAAAATAGTATATATATAATATAATACAAAATATGCTAATCATTTTTATCATTACCAATTTTTTTCTAAAATTTTTTATTTTAATTAAACTATTATAATTAGAATACTAAGTATACTAAAAAATTAAATTTATTATGCTAAATTTAAATATTATATAAGTATTTCACAACATTTCAGTTAATTTAAATATGATGATCTTTTAATATAATTTAATGGTATAGTTTCATGAATTTTCTTTATCATCTATTGATTATATAATGTGCAAATCTTTTTAAATTAATTTTATTTATATTTATATAAAATAAATATAAAATAAAATAAAATATAAAATAAAAATTATCTATATCTTAAATTTAAAACTCTTATTAATTGTAACATTTAATAGTTATAATTTAATATTAAATTACTAGAAATTACTGCTATATTTATATTTTTATAGTAAATTGATTTTTAAAATTAAAAAGGAATATGGATTATTTAATAAAGATTATTAATTCAAATATTTTCAATCTTTTATAATTTTTCATTTTATTAATCTAATTCTTTTTATTTACATGAATAAACATACCTTCAGAAAAATTTTCTTGAGATATATTTTTTAATTTGAAAATAATAACTAAAGGTAATTTTATTTTATAACTATGCATTTAAGAACTACAATAAAATTTTTTCATTATTTATAGTTCTAATGCTAACTATATAAATACTATATTTTTCAATTATTATTAGATTAGTTATATCAAAAGTAAGAGAAATTTTATCTATATTTCTAATTAAATATAAAAATAATTATATCATAAATTTTGTGCTTTTTTATTTATTACCAAATGCTTAAGTTGATTGTAATTTATGACATTGATTAGATATATATAGGCAACTTTGGGGATTTTGAGACAAATTTTGAATAGGTATAAAAAATAGTGTGTAGCCTCCTAGCTACTTTCCTGATATACAAAAATTTTGAAATCTTTATTAAACCCCAAATTAGCCTACAAGACCAGGAAATATATTGAAATCCAATAGTAAATTCATACTTAAAATCGAGCTAGAGCTTAAATTTAGTTAACATATCTTTTTACCCAAATTTTAGGTTTTCAAGTCTAAGATGTACACCATCTTTGTTAATACGCTGGCCTCTTTTTAATCTCAAATAATATAACGAAAAAAGTATGCTATTCTGCTTAACCTTAAATCAAATACAGAGTACTGAGGACTGAAGTGTTTGATTATACTCTGTGTGAGGTTTTGCAAGTTCATTTTGTATACCATATTTTCATATTATCATAGAATTAATTCTAGAGCTGATTCATTATTGTAAACAAAATCCCCAATAAGTCTCACCTCTTTGAGATGAGATTTATCAGCTCAGTACTTCCAAACTTGATTTAGAAGTTATTAAGTCTATTCTAGCATATCATTATTTTTTTGATATACAGGAAACCATTCTAAAGCCAATTCATTTAAAAATTCATTAAGATAATTAAATCTCACTTCTGAGTGACCATATTTATATCTCATCTAAAAGTAATATACAGGAAACCTTTCTAAAGTCAATTTGTTTGGAAATTCATTAAGTCAAATAAATCTCACCTCTAAATCACACCTCTAAGTCTCACCTCTAAGTCGCACCTCTAAGTCTAACCTCTAGGGTGAATATAATGTTCACAAAGTCTGCGAAGCAAAGCAGGCATATACATAGTTCTACCATTAAGTCTCACCTCTAAGATTAATCTTTAGGCGAAAAAAATAAGTCTTACCTCTAAGTCTCACCTCTAAGACTAACCTCATATTGATCGAACATCTGGACTTTATCTTGAAGCATATTCACATGCCAGATCTCTCCTTCAGTCAAGACCTTCAGGAGAAAAGTTGACTGCTACATCCTGAAATTTATGATTGAAGGAGCCATAAATTTGAAAATAGAAAAAAAGTAATTAAACAAAAGGGTCATAGGATTAAATATTTTAAATTGTGAAAAAGTTTACATGATATATAACAGGTGAGACTTATTTATAGCATGCATAGATCAGATAAAAAAGATACTACATGTGTTTGCTGTGGATATAAATTTACAAAACCAGCTAAACTTCGTCAGCATTATCAAGTAAAAAAAATCAATGTAATTCACCTCCAGAAATTTCTAGTCAAAAGGAGGGTCGAAAGAAGGCTAATATACCTAGACCTCATTTGCCAAGCCCTGTCCCAGCTCCAGTAGTCTATACTAAAGGAAAGGATCGAAGAAAGGAGAAGTCAAAAGTAGTTAATCCAATTTCAGAACTGCAATTGGTAATCCAAACTCCAGTTTCTGAGACAGAATCCCAAAAGGAAGTTCCTATACTTGGTCTAGACTACAACACAGAAGAGGAGGCAAAGAACTGAGTCAATCCAAATGCACAAAAGCCTGGTGAGCATTATAAAACATAGGGAAAAAGATTGGTTCAAAAATGGAAAGAACTCAATTTAGAAGATCATGTTATGCCAGTAAACTTGAATGACTATCTAACTTTTTATCATGATCTCAAACAATATGATCCAGATGCAGTTTGCCCACTGACATTAAAAGAGTTAGAGAAATATAGCAAGGTCTTTCCGAGGGATGAACCTAGCGAGGTTAAGCAACAAGACGGTCAGGTGGATTCTGAAGCTGGATCAGGCCCAGCAACTCAAGCTTACAGAGAAAGACAAAAGAAAGAGATAGTCTCAACTCCTGAGGCTTTTATTCAAGTGGAGGATATACACTTTGAAGAATGTCTAGTTGGGAGAGATCTAGAAAGATCACATGAAAAGCGATCTTTAATAAACAAATGGGTGGGAAAAGTCTCTCAACCTAAAGGCAATCCAGCATATGCTTTTATTCAACTAATAGATAATCCAGAAGAATATAAAAATTTGCCATACATGCCTCAACTTATGGGACTATTTCATCTAAAAATAACAGAAGTTCTCCAAATAGAGTTTCATAGAAAAGACCAAATAAAATCAGCTATAGTAACATTGTGTCTGTATTTGATAACTAAAAGAAATCCAAATGATACAACTGATACAACATATATAGAAAATAGATATAGAGGGGAGATGCAAGCAATTCTTTCAAAAGGAGATATAGATGAACATATAACCAAATCTACTGGAATAATAGATATTCATATTGAAAAAACGTTAAAAAAGGGATCTGAATATGTTCTTGAACGAATTCTAGAAATATCTAGTGAAGCATATACTTTATGTTAGGGTATAGGAGGTTCATTTATCCTACTCCCAAAAAGCTCGCTAATACTAAGTCTACCATCAATCCAGATAATAAAGGTCTTATTGATCCAGAAACAAATAAACCTTTAGAAAAATGTCTTTAAGGTGCATTGGGAGCGTTCTTTGCTCATCAAGATTGGCTTAATACAGAACATCTTGAATGAATCTTCTGGGTAAAGAAACTCAAACCATATTTAGATGTCGTCAAGTTAGATGGAATTCCAATGCCTACTCCTATTTGTCCACGTATCTTTAATAAGATCGAGGAGATGAATCCAGATATCTCCATCAATGTTTGGGGATGGAATGAAGAAACAGCTTCTCCAAAGTCCGTAATTGCTAGTAAGAACTTTAGAAGAAAGTATGTGATCTGATTATTAGCTCTTACAGATATTACCAAATCTGAGAAAGGCAAGTATGGACAAAAGAATCACTTTCTCTGGATCAAAAATCCTAGCAGATTAATATATGGAGATAGTACGCATAAAGAAAAGAAGCATCTATGTGATGGATGTTTCCTAAGATGACTCTCTGAAAAAGTTCTAGAACATCATCTAGAATGGTGTCCAAGAATACATGAAAATGCTCCCCAGAGAGTTGCAATACCAGTGAAAGGGGTTAATGATTTCAAGAAATTTAAGAACTATAGCAGGATGATCAATGCCCCATGTGTTATTATAGCCGATTTCGAGATTGATAATAAGAAGTATGATGAAGCATATGGTGGAAGCATGCGAAAACTTGCCGAACAGAAGGCTAATAGTTTCTGCTACCTAGTCCACTGGATCGATACTAGAGATATATGGGATCTGTTCCTATACAGAGGAGAAAATGCCACCCAAAAATTCGTCCGAAGGATCGATCAAGAGCTAGTCCATATCAATGAAGTCTTAGCTGTTAAAGCTAATTGAATTGAGACTGAGGAGGAAAGTTATCCTTGAAGTTTTTACCCACGTGATTTATTATACCTGACTTTAATTAACCAAAAAAATTTTAGATTTCATTTTTAAGTAAAAATATATTAGTGACTTTAATATCATTCCTTTTGTAAGTTAGATTTGGACAAAATTAATTATTAAATAAAATAAATGCCTTATAAAATACTTTTTTAAAAAATCATATCCTAAGGAAAAAATAATTAAATCAAAAGGCTCGATCGTAACGGTCGAAATCTATCAATATAGAAATTAATAGTAACTAAAATAAAATTATAAATAATAATAAAATAACATACCGAATTTACTTCAGAATAAAAAAAAACTGAAATAATTATAGGCTGCAGTGCTTAAAAAAAAATTATAAATTAATAATTTGATGAAAATAAAATTAAAGATAAATTCTTACCAGAAGTAATCAAACTCGAAAGAAATTGCCTAAAAAATATTCTAACAAAAAAGAGAAAATTAATAATAAATAAATATACTGAAGTTAGAATTCGGGTTCTGAAATTATCACCAATTTCAGATACGACCTTACCACAATCAACAGATTTTGGTTCGATCTTATCACTGCAGCAATCAAATATTTTCATTTTTTTGGAATTTGCGCCATTTTCTTTTCTTTAAGTTTCTATATCAGATATTGTGTTGAATCATTTCAATAAATATTTGAAAAACTTGTTTTTTTAGTTTTGGCCTAAGCTAACTTGTGACTGCAGCTATAGATGATTTGATTTTCCAATATGTGATAGTTAGGGATTTCACTATTTTACATTAGGATTTTTTGAATTATTAATAAATTTTTTTTATGTTCCTTTCTGGCTGTAACGCAATATTATTATTATCATAATCATTATCATTATTTGTTAACTGGAACTTTTTATTTTTATTTGAATAATTTTTTAGGGGATATCTTTTGGCATCAAATGAACTTTTTTACTCTTTTTGTTCGATTGCATGCTGTAGACATTTTCCCATTATTATTTTTTATATTAAGATGGTTTGAATTACGCCTTAGCATTAGAAAATCGCTGCAATTTATAATTAAAAAAGTCACATTTTTATAATAATAATTGTAAAAAATGGTAATGGGTTGCATGTGTTCACACTAATAAAATAACTTTTTTTATCACGGACGTTAGGCTCTAGATAAAATAGCTACGTTACATTATTCAGTTTATAATTAATAAAATACTGTGGTAACGATATGACATAGTATAATTAAATGTTTAAATCAAATTAATACAAATAAATTCTTTCTTATTCTTTAGCTAAATGTACGTAAACAACAAATAAATTTTACAACAGTCAAAATAATAAAAGAGAATGACCCTGCCTTAAACACAAAAAGAAGTTCCGACTAGTTACATAATTGAAGAAGATTTGAACAAGCAAAATATAACTACGCTGGTATATGAATATGATCTAAAATTTGGACATTGGACAGCACCTTTAATTGGAGGAAACGCTCCAGGATGACGTAGTGGATTTCAAATTGTTGCTGATAATTTTGAAAAAATATATGTTTTTTGTTAAATATTTCGAAGAAGTTTATATATCATATTCATTATGATATAGCAAGATTAATTACTAATAAATTAAAATGGTCATATTGCCCTATTGTCAACTCTTACAAAACGTAAGTTGTTTATACTGTGACATTATTATAATATGATGTTATTGTATATATTAGAGGTCATGAGATTTCTGATAATAGCACAGATACGCTTGTAGTTATTAATAAAATTAATCTTTATGATACCAAATATTTGTCTTGACAGTATTTGTATCTACTTAAATTTCTTAGTAAATATTAATTTATAAATTTTTATTCAATTTATTAAGGAAGCAAAAAATGATGGTCAAATTGACTCTCGCTTTTTATACTTGGCTATACTAGTTTTTTTTTTTAATCAATTAATATTGTTTTAAAATATATAGCTATTAATACAGATACAATATTATTAGTTTCTGGAGGACAAAAAACATTATTGAATTAGAAAATCTCAATGTTTCTCCAGATTTAGTAGTTTTACAAACATTTCTATTGAATTAGGGATGTTAAAAAGTCCTATGGGACTAGGTTCTAAAAAGTCTTACGAAGTCTGATCTAGTTCAAAGTCTTTTGAACTATATGACTAAGTCCTAAGACCGCAAGTCCTAATTTCTATAGGACTGCAGTCTCAGGACATGGTCCTAAAATCCAGTCCTAGGACTCAAGTCCTATAGACTGGGTCTTCTTTAAGACGGAGTTTTGGAAACAGATTAGGATCAGACTGGATTTTAACATCCCTACATTGAATGGACTGTTCTGCAAGTATCGAAAATTGGTGAAGTTCCATCACTCACAACTCACACTGCAAATTTAGTTTGAAATTACATGTTATAAAAAAATACTATTTAGATAATAAATTTAAGCTTTAGTATTAACTATATTAGATTTAAGAAATATTACTCAGTTGAACGCTACTTTTTCAGATGTAAATTCAAGAATTATTTGTTAGATTTACTTGGGTTGATAAATTTGTACTGAGCCTATACAACTAAATAAAACGGCATCTAATTCTTCCCCAATGCAAAATCAAGAAAATGGAAATATGAAAACCCAAATTATAATTAGTAAGTGGAATAATCGGCTTCACTATATTCCTAGCAAATAGATTCATTAGTTAAAATGTTGTTATTAGAATTTCAGGCAATATTTAATTTATAATTGACTAAATACCAAGCTTAATAGTTTAAATGTTTAAATTAGATTTGTTCTTATATACCAGGTTTACAAGTTCTAATTTTGGAAGAATCGATAAGATTTGTAACATATTTAATAGCTGTAAATTATTTTTCCGACAAATCGTAAAAATATCCATTTATATTCAACTTTTGTCAAATAGTTTAAGCAAAAAATTAACGTATCAAGCCACAACGAATAACATAGGAACTCGTGTAATTTATCTTAATAGAAAGCTAACCGAACACATTGTAATATTACCGTTTGAATTGTAATCAAACCTTAACATAGAATGAATATCGTTCAATATAACCGGCAGGACACTTCATTTCTGTTTGTCCAGTAGTTGTAACTGATCGAACAACTTATTAGATCATTAATTATTTGATTATATATTTAAATTCGCTAGTAGATTTTCGGACTAAAAACTTGTACAGATTAGAAATTAACAAGATTAGATTAGAAAGGGTAAGGTTGGTTTATTATTTTTATCAGTGTTGTCATGACTGGACAATGGACAATGGACAACACTGGACAAAAAATGCTGTCCATTGTTCATTGATTAAGCAATGGACATATAATTTCGGTGTCCATTGTTGTCCATTGTATTTACTTAAATTTATAAATATACAATTAATAAAAAAAATTAAAATTTATTAAAAA